ATCTTTAAATTGCTTATTTTAGCAAGTTAATTTTGACAAATTTTTGTAAAGAACCTCCAGATTTTGAAATTGAAAATTTGGCAAGGCTATGTTACTAGTAAAATTATTTCTGAAGATAAGCAAACTCTTCATTTTTGACTCGAAAAATGTGTAAAATTACGGTTCTTATATTTGAGATATACGGCAAGTATAAAAACTTTATATTTATATACGATCTAAATTTTAAAAGGAAAATTATTTTCCTGCATTTATGCAAATCATGAGTAGATCATTATAGAATTTCCTCAAGTATCTTGGTTCTACTATGTTCCTAACGGTATCAACCAGTTCTCATTACTTTCCTCTAATCTTTCCCATTCTAAAACTTCAAATCAGCTAGTGCTTGAAGTGCCTGACGAACTTGAAATAGATGATCTTGAGGAAAGGTCTGTTTTTCGATACTAATCGACATTTTCTATTTTCGGTTTTTTTTCAATTTGTTACATAGATTTTACTTATTTTTCTATTTTTATTTTTATTTTCTTTCGTATTTTCAGTATGGAGTAACTTACGCTTCTTTGAATCAAGGGCCGCTGCCTTTGTTTTGTACATGGATGTATTTTGAACGCCTACTGACGTTGATTTTGTGTTTTTCCGAATCACCCAACACTTGTACAACGCAGAGTGATTGTAGATCCTTATCTCTCGCTTTATTAAACTCAAAAGCTGTTACTTATATACGTTTAGGTTTATTATGCTACACAATCATGCGATGCCTAGCACGTTAGCACGTTGACATGCTGGAAGATACCAATCTTCTGCCTACCAAATTTACGTACTATCTCGAACTTCAGGAATCAATGAACTTTTGCCCCTTATTTAGGCGAGACCAATTCAGTTCGGTGTTTTATGTTACCCTCCTTCTCTTTTGATCCCCCTCTTTCTTAGTAAAAAAAAATTTTTTTGATAGGTATCTGAGTGCGCCAGCTGCAATCCCACGCATTTATAAATCTAAATCATTATTTACCTACAAATTACGAAGTAAACGATCTATAAATTCAGTATAATGATAAGCATTAAGAAAATATTCCTATTTCATCTTCGGATTTCTGGACTCAAAACAAAAATAGGAATATTTAAATTTCCACTTATTTTCGAAATAAGTTAATATTTCATTATGAATTTTCTTTACAAAATTCTTTTATTTTATAATATTTGGCACTGTATTTACTTTGTTATTTATCAGAATTTTCCTAGCGTTAGGTTTCTGCCAACTAGTACATTAGTTGGTATTAATCTTTATTTATTTGGCGGGGAAATTAGACTTAATTTTATATCTAATGAAGTTTGGTATCTTGACCTATCAAATTCATTTAAAATAACTACACCACCATGGCTCAATGATATTGAAATGCCAGTAGGATATATTTTTGGTAGTTCATGTCTTAGTTCTATTGATAATTCCACGGTATTTTTTAGTCGGCGGAAGGACATATACTCTAAATACTGGACATTTCATATATGCATCATCAGTATATGTATTTAATTTTAAGACTTCACAATGAATAACACCAAGCATTAATGGTTTTAATTCTAGCATTGCATCACGCAATGAAATACAAGCTGTTATTGATAATAGCGGAAAGATTTTTATTTTTGGGGGAACTAATTTTAACAGTACGATATATACTTTTAATAATGATATGAATATACTTGATATCACTACTATGACTTGGAAACTCAAATTCAACCCCAATTCCTTCCTTATGTTGACAATACTGCTACTTTATTACCAAGTGGTTTAATTATTTACATTGGTGGGAGAGAAGGTTCAGTCATAACTTATACTAGCTTGACCAATATGAACCAGGTATTAATAATAATTTTCTTTAATATTTAAAACTTTTCTTCACTTAATATTACTTAAAACCAAATATAGATTCGAACATTTGATACAAATCCTACACCTGGCTTTCTACAGTAATATATATAATTATTTATTTTGTTGCAAATTTTTAAGCTCAATTTCAATTTTTTTTTGTTCTTATTAGATTGCGAGTGGTTCTGCTGTCTCATCTCGTCTTGGTCCTTTTATTGTTTTATGCAAACTGGCTATAATAAATAGCGTCAATGCAAATTATAGATTTATATTTTTTAATTAACATTGTTTATTTTATGCCAGCCTATGACAGAAATATTATTCTATATGGTGACAGAACGGTAAATAATACTGGTGTTACTATCGTATTTCAAGAGAATATCAGTAAATGGGACCGAAGTTAGTTTAGCGATAGTGAATAAAGATTAAATTATATCAAAGAGTCGTGAAGATGCGTTCACGATGGTAAAAAGACTAATACTATGCATAACAATTCAATAATAGACAGTACAGGACCCCGAGCAATTTATAGACAGGTAAGATTTTAGTTTGCTTCTTTTTTTTGTAGATCTTTTCTATTTATAGTTTTTTGACCTTTTTACTGCAGATCCTTCTATTTTAGTAATTTTTGTAAAATCTTGTAGATTGCTCGTGGCCCTGATAGTATGAATAAGAAATACGATGCAAATAAGATATCACATAAAGTCTTTATTTACAAAGGAGGGATATATCAGATCTAACCTCTAAGTAGAATCTACAAGCAAAACCTATTGATAAGCAAAGAAAACATGATATTCCGCAGTCAAGGCAGAATGCGTGGAATGAATTTCCTTTAATGTCAAGGAAAATCTATCTAAGGCACAATATAATTGAAGTTGATGAAGTTTACACAATCTCAATGGTTAATGATATGATCGAGGTTTCGACTATCTAAACAATCCTTTATCACTTTCCCTACCAATTAACATATTAGGGTAGCTGTGCGATACATGACACCGCGCAGGACTAGTACGATCATGTATAACATGTAAATTTGGACTATTTGAAAGTTATTGATAAAGGATTTTAATGCTTATTAAACAAACAACTTAGAAATCTAACATAATTATGGTAAATGCTATATGCCAAATATTATCTTTTAGGTAATAGCGCAGCACAATTTCTTTAAAGTTCATCCATTTTAGTGTTAGGGTTAGTGTTATGGGCTAGAGAAGGGTAGTTTGCATAGTAAAATTTCCCAACAAAACCTTTTTTGTTAGAACACCAGAAGTGATTTCTTATATAGAACTACGAGAAGTGAGCGAAATGAACATTTGTTTTGAATTTTCTTGATAATGTTATGTTGCAACTGATCTTGAAATTTTAATAGTATTATGTTACAACTGATCTTGAAATCTAAATCATAGTTTAGGCAATCTGCACACATATTCAAGGGATGCAAAATCAGGTGTAACAGAAAAATTCAAAACGAACAGTTTGTTTCGTCAAAAATTACTTTTTTCTCGAAGAATTGCATATATAACTACTCTTCATACACTAATTAAAAATTTTTCTTGAGCAATTTTACTGTGTACCTCTCTAATATTTAGTATTAATAAGAGTCTTGGACCTAACACTAAAATGAATGAACTTTAAAGAATTTTGACAGCACCACAAACCTGGCACACATTCAAATAACTAGTGTGATAGATAGTGTGAAGCACAACCTATCTTATTCAAAATTTGTTTTCTTACTCTAGTTTTAAAAAAAAAACAAATACAGAATTTATAGATATTTTGTTTCACTTTGGCGATTCGCACCATAACCTTTTATGTAACAATACGAATCTAAAGTGGGAGTCCATTACATCAAAGTTAAAGGTCTGACATCCTGCAGTTACCTCGAATAACCTAACCGATTATCTATATGTACCTACAGGCGAACCTGCCACACTGGCAAGATACTATTCTAAGATAATACCCAAACCGGAGGGCTCGTCAGACCACCACCCTACAATAGGATATCACCAAACTGATGACATCTTCTCGTAGGAAAGTAAAAGAAAAAGAAAATTT